TGCTCTGACGGAGGGAGGGGCGACTGACGACACGGCTTACAGGGTTGGCTTCAGGAAGCTAAAATCAACAAAGGGGGTGCCTGTACATCAAGGAGTATTTCAGGCAGGACTGCACGGAGGGTTCCAATAAGAAATGGTGCACCTAAGTTATCGTTGTTATTGGAACAAGGAGGTTAGCCTGGCCTCTGATTGATACATGGCTAGATTTACCTCGCTGCACCTTCTCTGTGAGTGACTGCAGTGTGACCTAGAGGAATGAGTCCCCTAGACAGGGGAGGAGGCAAATGAGTACAAAACAAATCTGGTCTATTTCTTGTTTTGACCCACTCCATCTATCTTTTACATCTTTGGCTGGCAGCAGACGGTGCAGAAGGACTGCATGCCATCCACATCTCATGGCTGCTCGGCAGAAGATGGTACAGTATGCCTGCTAGCCATCCCCATCTCTTGCCTGCCTGGCAGAAGATGGTGCAATACGACTGCTAGCAATCCTCATCTCTTGCCTGCCTGGCAGAAGATGGTACAGTACGACTGCTAGCAGTCCGTATCGCCTGCCTGCTCACCATAAGACGGTTCAATAGGACTGACTGCAGGACTAAAGAGAATGACCTGGTCAAGTCACTCCAAATTTAGTCCCTGCGCCCATGTCTGCCCAGGCGCTCCCAGCCGACGCGGCCAGGAGCACCTCGGACACGATGAGGACGACTACCAATCGTATTGCACCGTCTGCTGCCAGAAGGCAAGGGGTTGCTGCTACTGTGCAGCAAAGCCGTACCGCGTCTGCCAGCACCCAGGAGACATAGGGTGACGGTTACCTGAGCGGGCTCCATGCTTGCTGTGGTATGGCGTCTGCACAGGTAACTCAGGAAAAAAGGCGCGAAATGATTGTCTGCCCTTGCTTTCACGGAGGGAGGGAGGGAACGGGGGCCTGACGACACGTACCCAGAACCACCCGCGACAATGTTTTAGCCCCATCAGAGCGCTCCATTGTGACTGCTCTGGACAGCACTCTCAGATGCCCGATTGTTTGCCATTGCTCTGACGCTGGGAGGGGCGCTTACAGGGTTGGCTTCAGGGAGCTAAAATCAACAAAGGGGGTGGCTTTACATCAAGGAGTATTTCAGGCAGGACTTCACAGAGGGTTCCAATAAGAAATGGTGCACCTAAGTTATTGTCCTTATTGGAGCAAGAAGGTTAGCCTGGCCTCTGATTGATACATGGCTAGATTTACCTCGCTGCACCTTGACTGCAGTGTGATCTAGAAGAATGAGTCCCCTAGACAGGGGAGGGGGGAAGCAAATGAGTACAAAACAAATCTGGTCTATTTCTTGTTTTGACCCACTCCATCTATCTTTTACATCTTTGGCTGGCAGCAGACGGTGCAGAAGGACTGCATGCCATCCACATCTCATGACTGCTCGGCAGAAGATGGTACAGCACGACTGCTAGCAGTCCGTATCGCCTGCCCGCTCACCATAAGACGGTTCAATAGGACTGACTGCAGGACTAAAGAGAATGACCTGGTCAAGTCACTCCAAATTTAGTCCCTGTGCCCATGTCTGCCCAGGCGCTCCTGATCGACCTCACAGAGGCGACCAGGAGCACCTCAGACATGACGATGACGGCTACCAGTCGTACTGTACCGTCTGCTGCCACAAGGCAAGGGGTTGCTGCTACTGTGTAGCAATGCCGTACCGCGTCTGCCAGCACCCAGGAGACATAGGGTGACGGTTACCTGAGCGGGCTCCATGCTTGCCATGGTATGGCGTCTGCACAGGTAACTCAGGAAAAAAGGCGCGAAATGATTGTCTGCCCTTGCTTTCACGGGGGGAGGGAGGGAACGGGAGGCTGACGATATGTACCCAGAACCACCCGCGACAATGTTTTAGCCCCATCAGGCATTGGGATCTCAACCCAGAATTCCAATGGGCAGCGGAGACTGCGGGAACTGTGGGATAGCTACCCACAGTGCAACGCTCCGGAAGTCGACGCTTGCCTCGGTACTGTGGAAGCGCTCCGCCGAGTTAATGCACTTAATGCACTTAGAGCATTTTCTGTGGGGACACACACACTCGAATTTATAAAACCGATTTCTAAAAAACCGACTTCTATAAATTCGACCTTATTCCGTAGTATAGACATACCCTAAGGAAAGGAAGGAGTGAGAGCAGCAGAATAAGAATGCTGGATTTCAAAAAAGCTTACTTTAGCAAACTCACTCAAAGAACTGGTAGATAAAGTCCCATGGGGAGGAAATCTAAGGGAAAAAGGAGTGCAGGACAGCTAGTTGGTTCTCAAGGAGGCAACATTAAAGGCATAACTGCAAACTATCCTGCTGCAAAGGAAAGACAGGAAGACTATTAAGAGGCCAATATGGTTCCATCAGGAGCTCTTTAATGACCTGAAAATCAAAGGGAATCTACAAAAAATGGAAACATGGACAAATTGCTAAGGAGGTATACAAAAGAACAGCACGAGCCTGTAGGAACAAAATCAGAAAGGCTAAGGCACAAAATGAGTTAACTTAGCAAGGGCCATAAAAGGCAATAAGAAGTTCTTTAATTAGGAGCAAGAGAAAGACAAAGGAAAGTGTAGGTTCCTCTACTTAAAAGGGAAGGTGCGCTACAAAGAATGACATCAAGAAAGCTGAGGTGTTTAATGCCTATCTTGCTTCAGTCTTCACTAAAATGGTTAATGGTGACCAGACAATACAATTAATATTAACAAGAGGAAGGCCCATGAGCCAAAATAGGGGAAAAAAACAGGATAAAGAATATTTAGATAAGTTAGATGTACTTAAGGCAGCAGGTCCTGATGACATTCATCCTAGGGTACTTAAGGAACCAGCTGAAGCAATCTCAGAATTGTTTGAGAACTCCTGGAAGCAGACATGCCAAACCCGCAAAACAAACAAACAAACAAACAAAGAAAAAAACACACAGAAATTGGGCTTGTTTTTGGCTTAATTGGCTTGTGAGTTGCTTGTTGGCTAGTTTTTGGCTTGTAGCTTCTTTTTTTTTTATCAACTTCCAGCAAGCAGGGACTAGGGGCAAGTAGGAGGAAGGGGGGAGAGAGTCAGGGGTGCCAGGCCCACCACGGTCCCAGACATAGAGTGTTGTGGTTCTTAGGGATTGGCTTGTTTTGGCCTTGTTTTGAAATGGGATTTTCTTGATTTTTGGCTTATTGTGAAAGTTGGGGTGCTTATTTACCACGTGAAAGTTGGCAACTGTGCCTGGAGGACATGTGAGGTCCCAGAAGAGATAGTATCTATCTTCAAAAAGGGGGAAAAAGAGAACCCAGGGAATTATAAAGTAGTCAGCATAACTTTGATACCTGGAAAGATACTGGAAAAAATTATTAAACAATCAATTTGTAAGCACCTGGAAAATAATAGGCTTATAAGGACTAGTCATCATGGATTTGTGAGAACAAATAATTCCAAACCAACATAATTTCCTTCTTTGACAGGGTTACTGGCCTAGTGGATGAGGGAAAGCAGTATACGTCGTATATCTTCATTTTAGTAAGGCTTTTGGCACAATCCACCATGACATTCTCATAAGCAAACTAGGGAAATTTGGTCTAGATGAAATTCCTATAAGGTGGGTGCACAATGTGTTGACAGGCCATACCCAAAAAGTAGTTATCAATGGCTCACTGTTCAATTGGGAGAGTGTATCTAGTGGGATCCCTCTGGGGTCAGTCCTGTGTCTGGTACTATTCAATATTTTCATTAATGACTTGGATAACGAAGTGGCAAGTAAACTTATAAAATTTGCAGGTGACACCAAGCTGGGATGGGCTGCAAGCACTTTGAAGGGGAGGATTAGAATTCAGAATGACCTTGACAAATTGGAGAAGTGGTCTGAAATCAACAAGTTGAAATTCAATCAAGACAAATGCAAAGTACTTCACGAAGGAAGGACAAATCCAATGCACAACTACAAAATGGCGAATAACTGGCTGGGTGGTAGTACTGCTGAAAAGGATCTGGGGGGCATAGTGGATTGCAAATTGAGAATGAGTCAACAGTGTGATGTAGTTGCAAAAAAAGGCTAATGGGATGTATTAACACTAGTGTCATAAAACATGGGAGGTAATTGTACTGCTCAGCACTGGTGAGGCCTCAGCTGGAGTATTGTGTCCAATTCTGGACACCACACTTTAGAAAGGGTGTGGATAGACTGGAGTCCAAATGAGAGCAACAAAAATAATAAAAGGTTTAGAAAACCTGACCTCTGAGGATGGGTTAAAGAAAGTGGGCATGTTTAGGCTTGAGAGAAGAAAACTGAGGAGACACCTGAAAACAGTCTTCAAATATGCTAAGGGCTGTTATAAAGAGGACAGTGATCACTTGTCTTTCCACTGAAGTTAGGACAAGAGGTAATGGGCTTAATCTGCAGTAAGGGAGGTTTAGGTTAGATATTAGGAAAAAGCTTTCTAGTTGTAAAGGCAGTTAAGCTCTGGCATAGGCTTCCAAGGGAGTCTGTGGAAAACAGCTTGGACAAACACCTGTCAGGGCAGGGCTGATCTAGGTTATTTGGTCCTGCCCCAGTGCAGGGGGCTGGACTTGACCACTCAAGGTCCCTTCCAGCCCTACATTGCTAAGGTTGAGATGATTTTATCACAGTTATTTTTAGTAAATGTCAGAGACAGGTCTGGGGCAATAAATAAAAATCATGGAAGCCCAGGACCTGCCTGTGATTTTTACTACGAATTGGGGTGGACCGAAAAGGGCAGAGACTTTATTCTAGGCTATGTATATAGTACTTACTGCAGTGAGGCCCCAGCCCTGACAGGGAACTCTGGGCACTCATTAATGATGGACAATCAGGGACAACTTGTTGGCTGGGGCAAGGGAGCACGTGGGAGTGCAAAGTGCCATCCACGAGCTGCAAAGCCAGGGAGGAGGGTACGTGGACGCTCCCGATCCACGGGCTATGGCGGGGGCAAATGAGGGGCGGGGCCTCTGCACAGGGGTGGGGACTGTTACGTCACGGCTCCAGTCACGTCAGCCTGGGCTGAATTACAGAGAAACTCGCCGGTGCCCCGCCTTCTCGTGAATAATTAATCAGCCCGACAGTCCTTTGTCCCACCTTTTCCGGCAGGCCGAGGCGGCTGCGGCGCTGAGAGGAGCTGGGCTGGAGCTGCTGCGGGTGAGTGCCGCTCGGTCCTCACAGGGCCCGCTCGGAGCGTCTCTCGGCCGGGTGGGCGCCGCGCCGCGGGGCGAGGCTGCTGCCCTGCCCGCCGGTCGTGCGGCCCCAGCCGCAACGTGCGCCCCGCCAAGTGGGCGGGCCGGCGGTGCGGCAGCGGCTCGGGGTCCCTGACAGGTGGTGGCGGGGCGAGCAGTGTTCAGACCGCCCGCCACGGAGCCGTGTCCGCGGGTGGCTGCCGCTCGCTGCCCGGAGCCGCCTCTGGCTGGGGCGTGATCGAGGGCGGGCGCCCCTCGGAGCCCGGCTGGGACTGGCGGGGGCGTGGGGCGCTGGCTCCGCGGAGCAGCGCCCTTGGCAACGGGCGTGCAGTCCGGAGAGCGCGCGGTGGCAGGCGGAGCGGCCTGGGCCCGTTGCTGGGGGCGGGAACCGCCTCGCCTCAGCCCCAGGAGGGCAGGTGGAGCCAGTGACGGGCTTGCCGAGACGTGCCGGTGTGAGATCATCCCGCCTGTCTGTCCCGGGGGGGTCACCGGGCACGTGCCTGGGGCTGCACAGCGCTGTCTGCCTGCGCTCTACCGCCCTCCGTCCTCTTGCCATTGCCCAGGGGCGGGCGCCTCTCCTGCCTCCCGGGGCGAGACGCAGCTTTTCCTGCCCGTGCCTCAATGGAAAGGGCGGTGCCATTCCTCGGAGGAAACGCTTCTCTTGCACCCCTCTTTTAGGATGCTTCAGCTTCTATGTCCATCACCTGTCACACTGGCTGTCCAGCTGTTGGTCTCTGGGGGTAGAGTGTTTTTTTTCCTTTTCCTCCTCTGTTTTTTGGTCACTGACTCTATATGATGAGTCTCCCTGGGTCACTGGCTGTCAAAAAGTGCCCCCCTCCTTATCATTATTGCTTAAATCATTTCCATAAAACACACAATAGGGCATATGCATACTCTGAAATTAAAAACAGAAAATATTTAATTTTACTTGTGTCACTAAAAGTCTGGGACTAATCTCACTGTTACATGTCTGGATCTGGGTGCAAGAGGAGCTGATATACTCTTCGCTGCTGCTGTGTGTAATAAAGTTTTGATGCCATTCAGTTTCCTGGGAACTACAGCATTAATGTAAAAGTTGAAGGGGGGAGGGCAATCTCTAACTTTGACTTCTTCTTCTTCAGTAAAATGAAATGGCTAGTGTGTACGTTTCTATGTGCATGTCACATCTTAACTTAAAAGTCCAAACACCCAACACCTTTGGACCTCACAATTTAGCACTGAGTTAAATGGATTTTATTGAATATTAAGTTTGCGTTACTACATGACATACTGGTTTTGGACTGCAAAACTAACAAGTTAGGGGAGGATGGAGATTTTTTTTAAAATGTAAATGTGGAAAATACCAAGTCCTTGTACTGTCATTTCTCTTCATGTCCATGGGGGTGAAGGAAGGTGATACTGTTTTGCTCTCTTCCAGCTGAGCTCATTAAGGCTTTGAAAGCAGGGTTGCATGTTTGTGGCTTTTCCCCTCCGAAACCTTCACTGGAGCACTTGTACTGAGGTTCATGTCTGTTTTATAAAGTCAGGCTAAAATCTCTTCATGGTAATGGGAGAGCATTGCTTGCTCTGAATGAGCAAACATTTGACAAGTACAATGCATGGAAGAGAGGGTGCACTTATAGAAGCATAGAATTGTAAGACTGGAAGGGACCTCAAGAGGTCATCTAGTCCTGTCCCCTGCACTCATGGCAGGACTAAGTATTATCTAGACCATCCCTGATAGGTGTTTGTCGAACCTGCTCTTAAAAATCTTCAACGATTGAGACTTCACAACCTCCCTAGGCAATTTAATCCAGTGCTTAACCACCCTGACAACAGGTTTTTCCTAAGGTCCAACCTAAACAGCCCTTGCTGCAGTTTAAGCCCAAAGCTTCTTGTCCTATCCTCAGAGGTCAAGGAGAACAATATTTCAACCTTTATTTATATAGCAACCTTTTATGTACTTGAATACTGTGATCATGTCCCTCCATAGCCTTCTCTTCTCTAGAGTAAACAAACCCAATTTTTTCAGTCTCCCCTCAGATGTTGTTATTGTAGCAGAGTGTAGCAGGGCCCTCTTGACTTCTGCCAGGTACATAAAGTCACGCTCAGACCCTCGGTTTAGTAACCACTGAGGCACTTTGTTCTCAGGCTTGTTCCCACCACCGTTTCACCATGTGCAAGTAACCTTTCACTGTCTATGGGGGGAGAGCTACCCCCTAGCTTCCATTCCCTCCATTTTTCCTTTCTCCTGCTCTCTCCTAGCTTTCTTCTCTGAAGGCTTTTATGCAGTCCCCGGCTAATTAGGTAGCAGCTGTCTCTGTCTCCCCAGTTAGGGCCAGGTTATCTCCAGCCTGCTCTAATTTGTTCCCCTAACAAGGAGTGGGTATGACAGAGGGCTGGATCTGCAACCCTTTGCCCAGCACCCTGTCGCAGTCATGTTTTCTAGACCTTCAGTCATTTTTGTTGCTCTTCTCTGCTTTCTCCAATTTGTCCATATCTTTCTTGAAATGTGGTGCCTGGGATTGGACACAGTGCTCCAGCTGAGGCCTAATCAGCGCAGAGTAGAGCATAAGAATTATTTCTTCTGTCTTGCTTACAACACTTCTGCTAATACATCCCAGAATGTTTGCGTTTTTTGGGGTGTTTTTTTTTTTTTGCGCAACAGTGTTACTCCGTTCACTCAGATTTAGCTTGTGATCCCCAGATCCCTTTCTGCAGCACTCCTTCCTGGGCAGTTGTTTCCCATGTTGTATGTAGACAATGGATTGTTCCTTCCTAAATGGAGTACTTTGCATTTGTTCTTATTAAATTTCATCCCATTTCCCCAGTTTGTCCAGATCATTTTGAATTTTAATCCTGTCCGCCAAAGCACTTGCAACCTCTCCCAGCTTGGTATTGTCCACAAACTTTATAAATGTACTCTCCATGCCATTATCTAAATCATTGATGAAGTTATTGAACAGAACCAGACCCAGAACTGATCCCTGTGGGACCCCCATTCAGTATGCCCTTCCAGCTTCCTTTAAAAGCAAATCACTTTTAAAAAAAAAAAAAAAAAAAAAAGCCCACACCACCTTCTTTAAGTCATCAATAAGCGGACAGATCCCTTCTGTTGCCTTGACATCAGTACTAGATGACACCTTCTTTAAGTTCTAAGCGCCTGGCTGAGATCTGCAGCTGGCTGAAGCTAATTCTTGGAAAGACTGAGCTGAAGCTAATGGATAGAAGAAAATATTTTGAAGAACTCTCCACTTCATAACATCACCTTCTTTTGAGGGTGTTTACCCTCTGATTGTTAATCTACAGCTGACAAGAACTCTACCCACTCCTGTTGGAATCAACTCAGTCACACGTCCAGGTCTGATATCATAGAGAAAATTGACAATTTCATTGCAATCTAAAAAATAAAACATGAAGACTTGACATAGGATGCAACAATGAGGCTTCTCAACAACGCAAGCAGCCAAGAGCATAAAAATCTTTGCTGTTCTCTGTATTTGGTTCCCTGTTAACTTAGATTTGACTCAGCATTTTTCAGTTCTCCTCTTAAGTCTGCCATGAGGTTGATCCATATCTGTACGGGGACCACTTTCTGCTGCAAAATCAGGAACTCCCATGATAGCCAAGTTGCACTGGAACTGTCAGTTTCAAGAATTGAACTCTTGTATGTAGAAGGCTGAGCTTTCTCATTGAACAGCCTGAGAGTTTGGAATGAGCTCCGGGATGACTGTGATTGTCGGCATTTTCTGATCGAACTGCAAAACCCACTTCAACCAAGCCTTCCCATAATAACTTAACACACACATCTGGTCCCAGTTGACTAAAGGAAAGAGTTAAATATGTTTGTATACTCTAATTTTTGTGAAGCATTTGGATTCCACTGTAATGGGTGCCATGTAAGAACTGAGATTTGGGCAACTGTGGGCAATATAGTAAAGTCCAAGGATAACATTTTGCTATCCCCGTATTAAAATTCGTCACTTTCTATTAGAGCTGGTGTTTCCAGTGCTAGAGGACAGTGGAGAGTGCTTGGCTGACTCTGTTGATTCTGTTAATGTCTGCCATGATATGGTTCCAAACAGTAAATTGACCTTCAACGCGCATGTCCTGAAACACCGTTCATAGCTGTCCCTTTAGTTCTAAGCCTTTGTCTCTCAGTGAGAAGCAATAGCTGCTGGGCAGTTTATATTTTATTTTTCATTGGACTGCAGCTTTTTAAATAATGGCTTGAACAAAGGGCCAGGAATCAGCAGCTCCAGAGTTCCAATTCCTATGCTGACATAAACTTCCTATGTGCCCTTTGGCAGGTACTAATCTCTTCCTCCTATAAGATGAGGATAATTCTTGTTTACGTCATAGGGGTGTTGAGAAGACAGATTAGTTGACTTTGTAAAGTGCCATATCACTGCAAGTAAAAATGCCCAGAAAACGCATTGCCTGATTTCTTATTGAATAAATGACTCAAATGATTTGATATTTTTATCTTTATCTGTAAATAGTTATAAAAATGTACTACTCAGGAAACAGAGCCAAGCAGAGGCAATGAGACACTAGAAATGTATTTAATCTGCTAACCATGGTAATCCATTAACAAGATACAAATAGTGCATTGCTCTTTTCTACATGCCTTATTTCTGGAAATCACTCAGGGCCTAGCAACAGCAATCTTCTCACTGCAATGAAATTGGTTGGTACAACTACAGTGCTAGGCCTGGTTAAATTTCTAATATGCCAGTACATTAATCATAATGAGGACTGCTTGAGCAGTCCTCAACTAATCCAGAGTAAACCATAATTTGTGGCCTAGCAGCAACAGATATTTTCCTACAGTAAATAGCAAAAAACTGCTGCTGGGAATTTAGTTTCCTCAATGGGATTATCCTTCTGGTGTCTAGTCAAACCACAGGATGTACTTGGACAACTTCAAAATAAACCAATAATGACGACTGTGATTTTTAAAATGTTGCAGGATTTCCAACTTTC